AATTTCACTCGTCACCATTTGGTTACACATACAAATTTACCCCTTGAAACAATACTTCTTTTCTGCTTGCAACTGCTTCATGTGTTGCTAAAAATTAATGAAATAAGTTGTTTAAAAAAATATGCAAGTTGTGATCCAAGCCGATCCTCACAAGAAAAGGAAGTAAATATGGAAAAACAAAAAGTATACACAGCTATTCTCTCTGATTACTTTGTCTAAATACCGACTCAGGTACGTTTCGAAGCACTGCAGGCTAACAATTTTTTTGTGGGCTTCTGTCCTAATTCTAGACTTTCTCGACAAGCAGGAGAAGTTCTCGACTTCCGTGACTTGTGTTACTAAAATAATTGACCCTGGCAGCAAAGGCAGCTTTCATTCATAAAATTGTTTGTTTGGAGGTGAAGAGACAAAGAAAGGAAAATGCATGGTCCCTTACCTGCTGAGCAAAAATTTATCGAGAACATTGGGGAGATCCTAGCCACACATAAACTGCCTTTGCTAGAAAGATCTTTTAAGGATAAGGAAAAACCAGGTAAAAATGGTGGCGAGTCATTCAGTGGGTAACCATGGCAATAAGGTCTAACGGTTTCATTTGACATTACCACAAGTAGATTATTGTGATAATTCTTCTAAAACGTAGTTATCAACGCCAGTAAAGAGAGCAGAAGGGCCCAAATTGCATTTTTGTTTTTGTTGAAAGCCACCTTTACTTGCTTCTCTACATGTAAACCCTATGAAAACTTTGTTCCAGCTTCTTCAATGTACATAGGATCTTCCTCCCTCCATGTAAACAGCCCCCTTTATTGCTTAACCCTTTAAACCCTANCCAAATTGCATTTTTGTTTTTGTTGAAAGCCACCTTTACTTGCTTCTCTACATGTAAACCCTATGAAAACTTTGTTCCAGCTTCTTCAATGTACATAGGATCTTCCTCCCTCCATGTAAACAGCCCCCTTTATTGCTTAACCCTTTAAACCCTAGGATCAAAATTTGAATTCTCATGTGTTGCCCCTATTCATTTTCTACAGAAGTAGTGAGGAGAAGTTGATAGAATATCAAGCACATTCATCTTGTGTGATCATGTCCATAATTCTCATGACCATTCTGTTTCACCAAGCATTGATATTACATTGAGAAATTCGATGCTGATCACTCTTGGCTTAAAGGGTTAAGAAACTAACCACCTATTTTGTGGTGTAGAGAACAACTGAAGGAAACAAGGTTGTCAAGACAATATCTTTCACAAACATCCGGAGGGTGGATGGTGGAAGATACACCTGTAAGGCAAACAACGGCGCATTGGATTCCAACGGAAAGGAAATTATAGTGACCCAAACAATCAACCTCAACGTTAATTGTAAGTGTGTTACTCATATGCTGTACATGTACTGATCCTTGCACTGTTACGAGGTCATTGCTGTTTTGGTTAATTCTATCCTTAAGTCATTACTGAGTGTCTCAAGCAATACACACAATACTCGAAAACAGTAGAGGTTGTGGACACCACTTTCATGGTGTGTGACTTGTGTTGTCGTTGGTCTGGGTGGACTATGTGAGTCTGAGATCATACATTGAATAAAATGGCCAAGAAAGTGGGCTATACTATAATGCTAATACCTGATCCTATCCGTTTGGTTCTCTACATCTGCCGCAAGAGATGAAAATTGGCACTGTTTTCCTTAAATGGGTGGTTCATTTGGGCTCCTAAGTTTTTCCAAAAAGGCTGTGTCTAAAGCTTATATTAATCATGCACTTGACACCTGTTTTGTAATGAGGCCCTGTCGGGGTAAAATCCCTATGGGCGACATGGACTTGAAACAGTGGCATAAGACTGGAATGACATGGAGATGGGTTAAAACAGGGGCATGGCCTATTCCTCAAAACACACAATGGCCGTATTTGAAATTCAGACAAGGGACATAATATGTAACTCCTCTCCCCCTCCCCCTCCCCCCCTCCCAGAGGGCCTCTGTAATGGCCCTTTAATCTCCTACATATTTACAGTGTATGACACATGTCTTAATTCCAGGATCAATCCTGTGACAAACTACTTTTTTTGCATTTAGCTCCCCCAATGATTGATACACGGTTGTCACCTACTCCAGTGTACTCTTTTATTGGCTACCAGAAAGAGGTCACCGTCGCCTGCTCGTTCTCAGGGTACCCAACACCCCTGGTCAAAATGGTCAACAGTAGTGGACAGGAAGTCGCGCAAGGAAACAGTTCAGCTAGTTTTAAAATTACCACTGACTCAGACAACGACTTTGGCACGTTTAACTGCACAGCTGAGAATTCGCTTGGAATGCAACACTTCCTGGTAGAACTTAAGGTGGCAGGTATGTTGCATACTGGTGTATCATGCTCAAATGAACAATTTCTATTTGATGACAATTTTCCATGGTCTGTGCTCTGTACTCTTCTCAACTATAGAAGTGAACTCAAAATGCTGATAAACTCAAATGGAACCACACGCCACAGGCGAGTGGTTTCACTGCAAAGTTTTTAACATTTTGACATCATTTCTATGGTCAACAAGAGTAACTTTTTCTAGAAAGAAGAAGCAACTAGTTTAAATAATGTCATAAAACAAACAATATCATAAAAACTGGATGAAAATGTAAATTATGATGTGTTTCATGAAGGCCCACTAGTTTTATGTTATACTTTAGTCGTGTGAATCCTATATTTTAGACAATTATTAAAAAGTTTTTTTTATAGGTTTACACAGAATTTGTTTACATGCAAAAATACGTGATTTAATTATTTTGTTGATACAGTGTTAACAGTTGGTTACTCTATTCAAACCAGCTGGCTCCTTCAGTTTTTATTGAAACCCCTGTACATGTGTGAGATTCCTGCAATGGATTTTGTTTAGGAAAATTTCGGTGTTTTGGATAGGTTAGGGTTTCCATCATTTTTATTGTGATGTGTTATTATGACCTCATTGGTACCTAATTTTGTGGGTCATTAATTTCACCTTTTTCTCACACAAATCCCTGTGAAATTTAAGCACCCTCAATTATAATACCCAAGCTCATAGAAAAACCAAATGACAATTAACATTTGATAGGAAAGACATACATTAACAAACACAAATTGCTAACTGGCTTTACTGGAAAGCTCCATTGTTTTGCCTGTTAAAATCAGCAAAATAAAACCCCGCGAAATTCTATCTTGCCAAAATCGCGAATTTGAGTACCCATGAAATCAACTACCATTAAGGTATAATGCAATTCTAATAAGCTGATGTGATTTCAAAAGGAAAAAATATTATTTTAGGAACAAAACTGAGTCTTAACTGACTACTTGTATGTACACAGAATTTCCGAGTGGACCACGTAATCTGGCGGCACCGAAAACATGCAAAAGCATCACTCTTAAGTGGGAAGCTCCTGAAAGTAATGGTGGCTTGGAGATTTTGCGCTACAATGTAAGACTCAGGAAAGGCGATGAGGACGTGCGCATACAGAGTGTTGAAGCATCGCAACGGGAAGTGAAAATTGATTACCCTTTTGAGCCCGACACGGCATATGAAGTTTATCTTACAGCACAAAATGATAAAGGATATGGAAAAGAGGAAATGCTGGGGGTCACAACCAAAAAATTCTGTGAGTATAATTTTCATAGCTTAGGGTGTGTTTGATTGATTGTATTTCAGAATACAAGGGTTAGAATACAGAAAGTTCTTAAACAAATCTCTTCTACCATGATTAAGTACATTGGGATACTTTATTTCATGCAGATTCCTAAATATTGCAATATATTTACAATGAATATATGGCAAAAATAGATTTCTAGAAATAATTCTGTTTGTTCTTATTCTGGAATACAGTCAATCAGACATGTCCCCGATACATGGAAGAGATGCTTTAGAAAAATAACATTAGAACCCCTTTTGTCAAGCTGACCAAAGCAGGAGTAAACCCACCATGGAGGTATATGTAAAGTGGTAAAAAGAATTTTGACTAGAATGTGATTTTGATAAAAATTATAAGGTTGTCACCTAAAGAACCAAAAACAGATTCTTGACTTAAAAACAAGACTGAAAATCCTGGGAAATAAGTACAACGTTACAAGACAGTGTGCTATTTTTTTTGCTAAAGTTGTCATCAAATTGTAAATAAAATCCTTGTAATGCCTCCTATAACTAGATTAGCTTTTTAACTATTTTCTGGGTCGCTTCATACCTTACAAAAGAAGTGTGTTCGACTTGCGATAACTCGAACCTTTAGGGGAAATCGAAAATAGTTCGAGCTAGCGGGAGTTCAAGTTATCAGGAGTTCGAAGTAACTAACCGAAACTATAAGGAAATAGAATGGGGAAAGAATTCAAGTAACATGTACACCTCAAGTCCTTGATAAGTACTCAGTGCTGGACACTGTATTTAAACTGGAGTGACCAGAAATTACAGACAATACAAGGTTGTTAAAATTCAATGTTTTGGACTGCATTTTTTGACTTGTCAGGGTGCTCCAATTAGTTCGAGTTATCAAGGGTAAATTTATATAGAAATGGTCTGAAGGGAAACAAAACTTACTTCCAGTTAGCGGGAGGTTCAAGTCATCATGGGTTCAAATTACCAAGGGTAAATTTATAGTAAATGTATGTGAGAAATCTATGGGAAATCGATTTTAGTTTAGTTCGAGTTAACATGAGATTTGAGTTAGCAAGGGTAAGTTTATAGCAAATGTATGAAGGAAATCCAGGGGAAATCGATTTTAGTGTAGTTCGAGTTAGCGTGAGGTTTGAGTTAGCAAGGGTTCAAGTTATCAGGAGTGGACTGCACTGTCTTTTTTCCTCTCTTGACTTTTCTGTGCATGGTATAAAAATAAAGTTCTTGTCTTCAGGTTTGCCAAGTAGACCAGCAATAACAAACACAGAATTTGAAGTTGAAACAAGCTTCACGCTAACCTGGCAAGCACCTTCTGACAATGGCGGCGATAGTAACCTCAAATACAAAGTGGAATGGAGGAAAAAGCCAGTCACTGAAGACACAGTGGCAAAGGAAGAAGACAACATTGGGGATCTTAGTCTGAAAATAGAAGGTCTTGAAGGTCCTGCAGAGTACGAATTTAAGGTCTTTGCCAAGAACTCGGAAGGTGATAGTGAGCCTGACACGAGGACCTTCATAGTGAAACAAGCCCCAAGTAAGTTGAATATCACCTATGATTGGTTCTGTTTTGCATGTCAAATGTGGTTACCTAACATGTTTTTCAGTTAATCAACTAAAATGCATCAGTAGTAATAAAAATGCCAAGTCGGATCTCATGTTGACACCAGACAAACTAGATTATACTACGCTCTATTCCTTCTATTGACCACTCTGCCGAAAGGGCGTGCATAAGTATACACTGGTAAAAATCATCATGGATGTGTTTACAAAATCATCATAGTAATAATAATAATAATTATCATGACTAATATAAAAGAAATAGAGGATAAATCATTACATGGTTGTGTGGAGGAGGAAATGTCTCTTTGGGGGAGCATAGCAAACTATTGAATTTTTTTTCAAATATTTTGCATGTCCTATTTATTTATATATTTATTTATTTATTTCTTCATACTTACATTGTAGCTTGTTCATACCTTCTGTGCCATACAACACATATTATTCCTATTATTTTGTTAAAAAATTTCATGTCTTATCTCCTGAAAAGGTTTGGTCAGTAGTAATAATAATTATTACTTATTATATTATGAATCCTAAATTGTCAGTAACACAAAAAGGAAATAATCACAGACTGTATATCATGACCAGTCACTCATAAGCAACAAAATATTGAGACAGGACATAAACCTTGTACCAGAATAATTTCAAGCATACATTTCATTCTATTGCATCCTTTTTTACACCTTTCGAGGGCTATAAATGTAATAAGTTATATGAAATAACTTCAGAGAAAAGGTTCTCATGGGAGCCCGAGAAAACAAACTTCACAAGCTAATTCACATTTCACAAAAAGAGGTCTTACAGATGATGATTTTACCTGTGTTTTCTCAACTCCTTCGAAATTTGAAATCTATTTTCGCGGGCTCAAATAAGAAATTGCCTTTGGTGTAATTATATCTATATCCCTTGAAAAGTGTAAAAAAGAATGCAATATGGCTTAAAATATTCTGGTGCAAGGGTTTTGTTAGCCTGTGAACCGCAGGCGTATTTTTGGTAGACTCTTCTCTCCCTCTGAAAAATAATAATATTTTTTGGAGGGCGATAAGCGACGACCAGAAATACGTCTGCGGTTCGCAGGCTAGGTTTTTGTCCACTGAAAATTAAAATTACTCAATTTCCCAGCCTAATGGATTCTGTTTTAATGTTTTGCCTAACCTCTTAGCAGTTATTAAAATGTGATGAGTCATTACGAATGATAATCTAGTACATTTAACCAGGAAGAAGAATTATAATAATTTCACCATAATTATTGTCGTAACTGAACATGAAGGAGAATATTTAATCATCTAACATGTTATTAAAGCTAGAAGAGAATTCATTGTCTGTTGCGTTTCTTTTTAACTATAACCACAATTAAATGCATTTGGTTAGAAGTTGAATTAATCAGATAATCAAAAAAAATTGTAAGAACTTAAACTTTTCTGTTTGATATTGATTTAACCACTAAGAGATTCTAAACTATAAAATTTGTTTTGTTTCTCTGCCCTTTTCGATTCAGACCCCGACGACGGCGATCCTGGCCCAAGTAAGTGCCCTTTATTTTTGCCCTTTATTTTGTTACCTGAAAGACCTGGAGTGGGTGTGTGATAGGAAGAAAAATTAAAACGGAATCCACCGGGAAACTGAGTAATTTTAATTTTGAGTGGACAAAAACCTTGTACCAGAATAATTGAAAGCACGTTGCATTCTCTTTTTACATGTTTCAAGGGCTAAAAATGTAATAAGTCACTTGTAATAGCACCAAAGCAAATTTCTTATGGGAGCCCAAGAAAATGAATGTCAAATGTCACAAAATTACAGCTTACAAATGAGATTTTCAGAATTTTACCTACGTTTTCACAATTCTTGTTAAATTTGTCATTCATTTTCTCAGACTCCCATGAGAAATTTTCTTTGGTGTTATTACAGATGACTAATTACATCTTTAGCCATTGAAAAATGCAAAAAAGAAAGCAATATTCTTTAAATTATTCTGGTACATGGTTTTTGTCCACTCAAAATTAAAATTACTCAATTTCCTGGTAGATTCCGTCTTAACTTTTGCAGATGTTGGGGGAGCAAGGATGGCGCAGTGGTGAGAGCACTCGCCTCCCACCAATATGGCCTGGGTTCAAAACCTGGCGTCGATGCCATATGTGGGTTGCGTTTGTTGTTTGTTTTCTCCCCAATAACCAACACTTCCAAATTCCAATTTGATCTGGAACACACATACGCTCGTAAGTGCTCCGTGGGTAAACAAATGAGAATTTTTTTTTTGACAAAATGTTAATCTGTTGATGAAAAAACGCTTTTAAAAGACACTACAGAGTGCTTGTGCATCAATATTTGAAGGGTATTGCAAAACCACCTTAAAAGAACAAGTCCTCGGTCTCAAATTTGATGAATGAAACAACATACAAATAAGAACCAGTTCAGCCTGCCAAAATTGAACAGGTTCCTATGTAAAAAATGTGGGTATAAAACTGGCAAAACAGTGGCTATTATCAGAGTGTGAGTGCTAGTCGATTAAAACACAGCATATAAGTGATTGAAATTTTCAGAGGAAATTAATTAGGCTTCTCATTAATCCAGGCTATAATATTGCATAAAAGAAATAAATGTACACCCACTATTAATAATGGTCAATGAAAAAATAATCACAGAATTTCAAAAGAAACAAACAGAAGATTCATGTTCTTAAAAAGAGGTATAATTTGAAGGGAAAAAAAAGCCTTAGCCTTTTGTTGAAAGAGTAATAAATGGGTTAGGGACAAATCTGGATCTTGGGGCAAAAGGAATATATTAATTTTTACTTTCCCCTTGTAAAACATACTAAAAAATTTTAGATACCCTTGTTCACAATTAAAACTTAGAATTTAAAGATCCTTTGTTATATTTAGGTTAGGAGTAAACAGCTATTTGTTTTTAAAGTAAAACAAAAACTGCATTTGCCTGTTAACATTAGCAGTTGTAAAATATTAAAAACAGCTTTGTTAAAACTGAGATAAAGCCAGTGTTATTTGTAAGTCTTTTTAAATCTTAAGCCTTGATTTTAAAATATGTTGTTTGGTAAAATTAAATATTAAAGTTGAAAATTAAAAGTAAAAGCCATATAATTATTCATTTGATAATGGAGATTTACATCCTGACATTTTTAAAATTTAAAATAATTTTGCATTTGCAATTGAAGTATTAAGATTCATAAAAATTAAATAATACAATTAACTGAAATATGTAAAAAGCTAACAATATTAATATTTATTCTATGAAATTTTTGCACTTCACCAGCCATACTAAAATATCTTTTATTTTAGTACCATCTACCACAAACCTTAGTCACATTTTCTTTCAATTTTCTTTTGACTCCAAAACATTTCATATATGTTACTGTTAAAGGCCGTTTCCCCTTGCTTCTGTATATGTCATACCTTTTCAGTTACATGACATCAGTAATTCTTTGAGTTCCCATCTTTCTCTAATAACTCTTCAAGAATCTTTGTACTTGATTTACTCTAAATACTATTTCTATGCAATTATCACTGTGATATGTGTTTCTAACTTGTCAGTTACACTTGTACAGTTGCACATTACAACACTTTAATGCTCTTACTACTAATCTTTCTTGTGCTCTATGTATGGTAAATAAGATGCATGTCCTCCGCAGGCAGAGCCTTTTCTCTTGTTCACTTTATTTTGTCTTTTGGAAGAAAAATAATATTATTTCTTGCTGAGCGTGCACTGGGAGTTGGTAGCCTGGTGCAGATTGAACCCAGGCAAATCAAGTGGCAATTTGAGGTTGGTTTACAACAAATTACTGCAAAAATATATAACAAGGCCCTGTTAGGGCAAAATTCCAACAAGCAACGTGAGACTAGATGAAAAGGCGACAAATGACATAAAGATGAGTTAAATACTGGGAGGGATACGACCTACTCCTCAGTGCAAAACAACCGTATTTGTNTTAGTCACATTTTCTTTCAATTTTCTTTTGACTCCAAAACATTTCATATATGTTACTGTTAAAGGCCGTTTCCCCTTGCTTCTGTATATGTCATACCTTTTCAGTTACATGACATCAGTAATTCTTTGAGTTCCCATCTTTCTCTAATAACTCTTCAAGAATCTTTGTACTTGATTTACTCTAAATACTATTTCTATGCAATTATCACTGTGATATGTGTTTCTAACTTGTCAGTTACACTTGTACAGTTGCACATTACAACACTTTAATGCTCTTACTACTAATCTTTCTTGTGCTCTATGTATGGTAAATAAGATGCATGTCCTCCGCAGGCAGAGCCTTTTCTCTTGTTCACTTTATTTTGTCTTTTGGAAGAAAAATAATATTATTTCTTGCTGAGCGTGCACTGGGAGTTGGTAGCCTGGTGCAGATTGAACCCAGGCAAATCAAGTGGCAATTTGAGGTTGGTTTACAACAAATTACTGCAAAAATATATAACAAGGCCCTGTTAGGGCAAAATTCCAACAAGCAACGTGAGACTAGATGAAAAGGCGACAAATGACATAAAGATGAGTTAAATACAGGGAGGGATACGACCTACTCCTCAGTGCAAAACAACCGTATTTGTTCCCCCCCCCCCTCCCCCCACCTAAGAGTTGGCCAACAAAACAGGAGTTACAAAATCAGTTGCAAGCTCAGCTGTAGCAAACGTTATGGGTTATGACTCTAATGACAGACCTATATGTGGTTCTTTTAGCACTAGAATGCTATTGAATGGAAAAAATATGATCCTTGCTACAAGAATCTGAATGCCTACAAGTTTCTTGTCTTGAACTGAGACTAACCTTTCAGACGCTCTTTCTTATTTATTAGTTCCTTCGACTACTTCTACTACCACCAGGGTCACTGAGTTACAAACAACTGCATCCTGTAAGTGTCTGTGATATGGTCTGATCCTTTTTTCCATTCTTGAAAGGCTGTTCTTGACTTATCTCCAGTGCTCTTTTATAACAGTTTTCTGTAAGCTGTAAGCTTAGCTTGCAGTGAGTGAGTGAGGCATACATCTTAAAACCTAAAGAAAATGTGAAAACAGTAGACTGTAAAAATTCAGTCAATGCACTGATTTTAAAAAAGTACTTACATGTAAGCACAGCTTTTATTGCCCTTGCAGAATCTTCCCAAGTCATGAAATTTCTGCATTTTTTGGAAAGATTGCATGGAAAGATGGAATTCAAATTTACCAGACCAGAATAAAGGATTGCAAATAATTGTGACAATAGCAGGGAAAGAAACTGAGAAAAACAAATCTTCTTTTTCTCTTGTTGAGTTTCTAACAGTGCAATAATGCCAGGAAAAGATCTTGGCTACACACTTGAAATTGGAATGCACAGAAACAGTATTACATAACTCTTGCCACTTTATTTTACTGTCCTTAAGTCAGGATACCTGTTAAAAACCTTCATCTTACTACCTGCCTTGAGACCATCTTACTAGTAGTTCAGTCATGCAAAATTGTGTGCATTTTGTTTTTGATACTAGTATCCTTTCATTGTACATGGCATTCATACATGTACTAAAGACCGGCACATACTCATGACCTTTCCACACTTGTGCACAATCCTTTTTTTCTCACCTGTATCCTTTCATTATACATGCCGTTCATACATGTATATGTACTGAAGATCAGACCTACTGCACATTCTCATGATCTTGTCACACTTATGCATTCCTGCATATCCTTTTTTCTCACTCCCATGCTTTCATTGTACATGGCAATCATACACGTACTTAAGACCTACTGCACATACTCCTAGTCTCACATGATCTTGCCGCACTTGTACTCAATCCTTTTTTTTCTCACTAGTATCCTTTCATTGTACATGGCATTCATATACTTTACTTTCTTATGATCTTGTTACACTTACGCACTCTGTGTTTCCATGCTTAAGGAAAGTTGTGTGGATAAGGGATTTCATATGTTTGAATCTCATCTGCATTAGCCACTTCAAATCTTCCACGAGCAAAAGAACCTTTATTCAGTCTCTTTATTTGTCAGTGCACATTTCCTCGCTGCACACATTTCCTCTTCTCATCTTATTGAACTCAAACAGTGGCTACCATGCTTATTTTTCACGAAGAAAACAAATCCTTTTTCACTCTCTAAATCTTTTCTCTATGAATCTGCTTGTAGCTACAGGGGAATCAACCAAACAACTTATACCGGTAACTACTACAGCAAGTACATGTAAGTTCAGAAACATTTTAACCATAAATAACAATACATTACTACTGATTGTTGAAAAATAAGCACACTATCAAGGAATCCTTCCTGCTACTGTTTAGTTTGTACATTTTCTTGGGCTAATCTATAAAGTACATTAATCTTTCTTTCACTACCCAAAAAACTGGGTTGGTACATTCAGGTTGGAAATTTTTCTTACCAAAGAAAACTTTGAAGCACAGCAATATTGTCATTGTCTACGCAAGGGGAAGGGCCAAATTTAGCAGAAACATCTAATCCATTCTGGTGGTCTTGCATTTGTGCATGCATCTTATGGCAAGTTGTTTGGATTACCTAAACATTTTTAAAACAAAGAAAATAAAGCAAATATATAATAGTTTTTGTTATAAGAATCAAACAAAACTTCAGCAGGATGAGTAGATCTAAGGACTCCTAAAAATAAAAATAGCAGTAATATCTTATTAACAATCACATTAACACAATTTTTTAAGAGAGAACAAACATTAAATTTACTGACCTTGCCCAATATTATGACTAGCAGAGTTAATGTGTTTAACCTTAGGGGTATTAAATACTAAAAGGTTCTCTTTATATCACTCTGTTAAGATTTCTAGCAGCCTGGATATTTTTTAAGATACAAGACAGCAGACTGCCTCTGAATCTTTATAAAAAAAGGGACTTTTCTCTCTCTGAGAAATTCAAATCGAGCAACCCAAGAAGAAGTTGCGATGTTACATCTTTGAGAGTTGGGCTCATGAAAACTTATGCTAACCAATCAATAATTATTACTCTGATTTTCTAATCACAAAAAATTAAATTCAGTGGTTGAGCTAAAGTTCTGAAGCAGTTTTAACCATTATGTGCTTAAGCATTACTTAACAAATTTAATAATACCAAATGAGTATGAACAAGACCTACTAACTTATAAAGGTTTGTATTACTAATGTGTCACCATTATCATCGACATAACAAAGCAGACCTTTTGTTACTTCAAGAAATGGCGTTAATGAACAAATTTAAACCTTCTCAATTTTCATCTAACATCTAACAATGTCAACCTTGATAACCAAATAAGACATAGGATCTACCAATTTTTTTAACTCTTGAATGTTGATCAGCTGGTCATCTCTGTTTTCCAAAACAATACTGGATCACTAAATATTTACGAGAATATTGGACGTGATCATCTAGGTCCAACCACAGTCATATTGACATCTAACAATGACAACCTTGCTGTAACCAAAAGAGACATGAGATGTGCTAACCGTTTTAACCCTTAAATTTTGATCAGAATCTCACTTCTCCTTTCCACAACAATACTTGATCACTTAAATATTCAGGAGAATATTGGAAGTGATCATTAAGTTCTAATCACAATCATCTAATGATTTTACTGTCCATCGACTAACTGTTTTAGTTTAAGAAATTAATCCAGTGCAGAGAATACTATTTGTTGGTACTTTTGGATGCATGGAGAAGAAACTTGCTTATATCGTGGCTCGATTTTAAGGCATTCTGATTCAAGAAATCAAAGAATCATTTTTTCTGGACACATTTTTTCGGCTCAAACCACAAGATGTTATCTTTTTTCAAGAGAGAAGGCTTTGAATCTACTTACACAACCTTTTGAGTGGATTTTTAATCATGTAGTCAGTAGGTAAGTTTACAGGCCAGGATTAAATTGGTTCTTGAAGTTTGCTGTCTTGTACTTGAAAAAAGAAAACTTCCAGGTTGCCAGCTATCTGAGCATTGTGTTGTTAAGGATAATATGAATATGAGAGTTATATTTCACGTCCAAGGTGAAAATTCTCCAGAGACCCTCAATTAAAAATTTAAGAAGATTAAAGTTAAGGTTGACGTTTATGCAGAAGGTTCGCACCGTAAAGGTATAAAAGTGCTAGCCTGTAAAAAACTAAGGATTTAACGATCGTTTTTAACGTTATCTGAGTTACGTAGGAGAGCTAAAAAGCGTAGTATTTTGTCTTGAATTTTAAAAGCTCATGTATTAGAATTGGTGATTTCTTAGTGCACGAATACAAATTTTGCAAGAAAGAATAGCAATTTCATAAACCGCGCAGCATTTAAATACTTTTCTTCAAAAGCGTTACTTAAAGTAGACAGATATAACCTTCGTACGCTAGAAATAACGACATAAACATTAACATTAAAATACCTTCAATGAGCGCTGCCATTTTGAACACTTCCCAGGAGTCTATGCGGTCGAAAGGGACGCAAAGCGCATGTTTTATTTCTTAGCAAAGCTTTTTAGTTTTCTATAAAAGCTTGCCCGACATAAATAAACATTAGGATTTAACTAATTAGAACACGGATTGATATGAAAAATAAATAACTTGAAACTCATAAAAAAAATGCAAGTAATCTGACTTATCGAAGCATAGCTGGTAACCCTGTGGAACGTCACACCAAATTTAGGTGGCCTGTGTCCATCTGTTGAGCAAAGATAGAAGTGTTTTGAATTTTCTTGTAGTCACACCTAAAGTTGGAGCACGCACTCAGTCCGGACTCGGAGCGGGAGCCATAGCAGGGATAGTTATCGCCGTGATATTGATCGTGCTCATCACCATCGATTTGTTTTGCTGTTTCTTCAACTCTTGCGGTATTATCTTCTGTTGTCACCAGGCCATCTGTGGTGGAGGTGCAAAAAAGGACACTTGTAAGTATTCTAAGTAAAGCATCTCTTGAGGATATGTAAAAAAACAACAACAACAAAAAGAAAAAGAAAAAAAACTCCTAGACCAGCCATAAGGTGCTTACAGGCACAGTTTCTTATAAAATTGATAAATCACAATATGTAGACAAAAATGACGCTTCCTTCAGGTTTGAAGCTATTAAAGCTAAGACAGATGTGACCTGTTTGTTCTCCACAAATCGAAAGGGAAAAGTAAGTTGGTAACCCTGTGTAGGAAATCCATTTTCGTCCCTATTCGTTAGGGTTCAGTCCGGGAGTTCGGTGTAACCGACTTTTTAGGTTGCGAATTACTGAACTGGGAATTTCGTCCAGTTTGGCTAAAATAAGCAACCAAAGATCATTGGCATTCAGTGATTTTCTTCTTAATTTCCTATTCCAGATAAAGACGGCAAGGCAACAGAAATGGAAAAGTAAGCGTTTTTACCTGCGTCGTGATACTTATGTTTTTTCCTTTTGTCGCTTTGTTTTATTACTGTAGTAACACGAATTCTAACTGCCCTATCTTTCACTCTTCTAGGAAACCTTTGCCTGAAAATGTCTAGCTGGAGAGCCAACATTCGTGGGAGTCAGCGGAAAGCTCTATAACAATACGATGCATTACTAACCGCGTGCTATTGCTTTCGACTCAATGACTGACGTCACTTCTGACGTCATCTTAGAAAAAGACATTATGGTCATCTTGAAGAACATTTGTGCGATTGAAATAAGTTTAATCGGCTCATCCTCGGTGTAAAAACCTGTAAGACTCACGAGTTACGTAAAACAATGAATACAAAGAAGCCACTGAGGAGTCAACACGATAGAACCAAGGAAAAATAATAGCCAGAAAACAAAGAAAAACTTCACAGGTTTTTACACCGAAGTAAACCCGTTTAATCTATTAGTTTTATATTTGCTAATGTATTTAGTCGTGTAAAATTTAATCCTAATTTATTGAGAGTGGGTAAATTTTAAGGTTATGCGATTATAAATTTGTAATCTTGGCTTCATTTCAATTTCTTACAACTATCAACTGATACAAAAAGTATGATGACCTAAGTAGTTTCTCTCTGATAATTCACCTTGAACAAACTAAAGATAAATGATAATTCAAATTAGACGCGATTCCGTCTTCGTTAAAACACACTGGGTGCAGTGTTAAGGTTTCTCTGCAACTAAGGGTTATTCATTATTAATTATCAACAAAACTATTCCGGCCAGTTTTAGGTGAAATTTCTTTGAGACAATAAAATTAGTCACCTACGAGAACCCAAATGAAGACAACTTTAACTTGCGTTTGCACGTGAACACTCAGTGCGAAATCACGTGTATGCCACGTTTCACTTTTCAGGTTTGGCTGGCCGCAAATAGAGTTTATTGGGCAGAGAAAAACGCAGAAAAAATCATAAACGAAAACAGCCCAAAAAACTCTTAAAGGTCTGAAATAAACTCGCTTCTTTTCCAAGGAATAAACGGAGACAATAGCTTGTTCTTTATTCGGAACTTTCATTTGTATCTTCAATTCAGCTTCCATGTTTTTCCCATTTTTTTGTATAAAACACTTTTAATATTGATCATTGGGCCTCATTTGTAGAGTGTAGTACGGCCGAGTTGATTTCTCGACCAGTCGATCTTATTTGGACATTGTGTATAATTTTTTTTGGCTTCGTTTTGCAATAAACCAAATATGCTTTAATGAATCAAATTCATCTCGCTCATCATAAAGGGTCTGTTCTGATAAACAATTGAATGAGTAATACGAAAATTTCTTCAGACACGAAGAGCGAATAGTTTCGCGTCACCTCAGTGCAATCATAATTAAAAATTTACTGAGTACATTAAGGTAGAATAGTTCAGTAACTTCGTATCTTCTAACCTGCTATCGGGAAGGACTGGAACTACGTAGCTCTTTTCAGCTGGCTTTTGTTAAGTCTGTGTGTTTTCCACCGCGGTCAAGGTTAAACGTTTGTGGAGTCCAGCTCTAACCTCGTTTCCAAAATGTGTCCACGCCCTTTTCGCTCTTGTTATCAATATAGATCCAATATGTTTACGTGGAACATTCCACCTAGTGAAGTGACAACAAAACCAAGGGTATACTAACCGTTGTTGAAAGGAAGAATCGTTCCTGTGATTTTTTTCAGGCGAGAGACTCTTTTTACTCTTTAAAACATTACTTTATTTGTTAAAGCCAGCGTTTTAACCGTATTGAAAGAATAGTAAAAAATGAATGTTACTTTCAAAGTGCTTGACTAGCTTTGACCGCGGTCGAAATGCCCAGTCATAAATACCTGCCTATGTGGCACAGTTGGTTAGCATGCCACAGAAGGTTAGGGGATTCTGCCGACTTTCGTTAATAGGGAGCTTAAGCAACGGCGACAGCAAAGAGAACAGCAAAAAAGCAATACGTTTAGATTGGCAAAACAACAACTTTGCACGTGCATCACGCTTTTTTGTACATTTCTTTCCCGTCACTGCACGACTACCACGTGAAACTTCCTAATTTCGCGTTTTATGGTGAATGGGAACACATGACAAAGATTTTCTTTTTCTTTTGTGAACTTAGATACAGTCCTTTAGAATTCAACTCCTGAAAAAGGCGCCAGCATTTGACAAATTAAGGAGTTGCAATAACAGCGATGAAGTTTGAAGCAGCGCGACTGATTCACTTTTCGGGTGACGTTTTCGTTGCCCTCGCCGTTGTCGTTGCTTTAGCACCCTAATTTGAAGCAGTTACTGTGGCCCATAAGTGGTTAAACACATCATCAACAAATCCTCGCAGTTCAGTCTTCCCGTTCGAGCACCTTTCAGACAAGCGTAATTATAATCAGTGATGTCTGATAATTCTAAAAGTGTGTGACGTAGAAGTCCTTTGAAACTATCGTGGAAGTAGCGAATGGTATTTAAAGGCTTCATTTTTCCTATAACTTCATTCTTAAATCGTCCTCGCGACGAAGACTTTAAACTTTAATGCAGTACTCTGTTGTTTATAGAACTCGATCGAACCGTGTAAAATAGAGCGGTGCGATTGAACTAAAATTTATGTTAGTGGAACCAACACCAAGCTAAACTGTTCGCAATCCAGCTCTTGTTCGATCTTGTGCCAGTTCTTGCAAATATGTCCAGATGAGCATAATAAAATATCTCTGCGTTCTTAAAATTACAAAGCAGCTTGCATTTTCCTGTTTATACGTCTTGATGGTGTGGTTTAGGAATGCGTATGGTGTGCGAGATTCAATCACTTCCAGAACCTTTACCATCAGTGCAAAGAAAGTTAATGAAATCCACTATCTTAACCTAACTAAGAAAATGTGATAGTCTAAGTTTATTAACTCACATGACTAAACTAACCTTTGTTACACGAAAATGCTAGCCAGTCAATTCTAACAATGATTGTAAACATCAATCTAATCTTAACCAGACTTAAATCTCACTTAATAACACCGTAATATCAAATGGTTTTCCTCGATCTGATTATCAACTGCTTATGTAGTACCTTTTAAAGAGAAAGTACTATTTCGCAGTGTGCAATTCGTATGTAGTGAAGTTGATTAAGGAGGGTACTAACTACATAACGGCCCTTACTGAGATTAACCAATAGCCGTACTGCCTGGCTCAGCATTTCTGTCAGAAATAAAGTAGTCCTATTTCCATGGCACCCTTCCTCAAGAAGGTTGCTTAGCGACCAACATCAGAAACCGGCTACGCTTAAGGAGGAAAAGGCTAGGGTCGGCCATTTTTTCAGATAGTTACTGTTCAATTGAGGCTGACCTAATACGTGTTTGTTTTCCATAATTAACTCTCGCGCACAAGAAGGGTGACACATTTCTGTGGCGTACCTCGTTTGTGACGACGCAAGAACGGTTGCGTTAGACACTACACTGGATGGTAGGGTCACAGACGCTAAGTACCTCGGTGCATGAATTAAACCCTTTCAATTGTGTATGAATATTTAATAGTTCTTTCATGAATTGAAAAAGCACTTCACAAGATTGAAACTGGACTTAAAGCATTAAAGGTAAGCCACAGTAAATTTATTAACTTTTTCAGCTAAATTTGTTAATCAAGTGATCAATTCTAACATTACTCTTTACTGATTTACTATCACCAACTGCTCCTGCGGCAGATCGCCGGCACCAAAGACATGGTAACAAGAAAACGTTAATCTCAAAATCTAATGAAGTAAACATCATAACGAAATAACATCTGACCTGATTTTCATGAAACCTACAGTAACTGAGATACTTTACAAACTGAAGCCTTGCTAAGATTACGTACAAAAGCAATAACGTATTTCTGAATAATGAATTTAATTACAGCGATTTATCATATCTAATTCTCAAATTATTAATTCACTGATAATTATTCTATTAATCAGAATTCATATATTCATTTTGTAACTTGTAAATTTTATCTACTTCTATGTTTTGCAGAACGTCTGTATTTTTTAAGCTATTTTTCTTGTTTTGTATCTATATTTTCTATTTTATTTCATGTCCTTGTATTATATTTTATTTGTTTTCTTTTTGTAGTTTAGCAATTAAACTAATTAGCTATTTGTTCCTTCTATTACTTTTTATTTTGCTCTACATGTATTAGTGTCACACTCAACGTTTTAATCATACCTCTCTTCACCATAACCTATGTTAGTTTTGATGATCTCTTCACTTGAAACCAAATTAATCTATTCGTTCTTACATCTGTATACGTCTTGTTCCTTAATGTTATTGTTTACTTAACATGTAACACATTTTTATTTTTAAACTGGGACAACTTCTAGTATTGTTGTGTTTAATTTGGCAAGACTTCTCGCGATCGACTGCGACGCTCGCTCAATCGCTTGGCGACCTTATTAAAACACGCTTTAACTGTTTTTAATATAAACTGGGTTACTGAAAAGCTTCGACCCCGTTTTACTAACAAAACATGTTTTTAGCGACTGTTTTTTCCTCAGTCTTATTTACAATGTCAACGTTTATTTATATATTGTTGTTTTTAGTTTTAGAAAACCAATTTAAGTCTAACAGACATGTTGCGGGCTCCAAATTGTCTGGCATTAGTATAGCCCTTAGATCCAGTAGTAGAAAAACACGCCCCCTCTCCCTCCCTCTCCACGTACCCGTTCCCAGTCATCATCACGCCCCTTGTAGACTGTGGGCCATTCTTGACTGCTGTAATCATTGAGCGAACAGTTCGGACTGACAGTATGTTGAGTATTTTTTCTTTCTATCTCATTTTAGCTGTTGACCCCGAAGCCACAACAGACTCGCTAAGCTCTGGAGCCATTGCTGGCATAGTTATTGCAGTGATTTTGATCGTGTTAGTCGCCATAGATCTGTTCTGTTGTTTCTTCAATTCCTGCGGATTGTTCTTCTGTTGTTCCCAGGCACTATGCGGAGGAGGAGGTGGCGCTACAAAGGATGACTGTAAGTGTTACGCAGGCATGCGCAGTAGCCATTTAGCTTGATCTTTTTTGGTAGAGCGAGTGTCAAATTTTTTTCGGCCCTGGATCCGCTACTGTCAGCTATGGTTGCAAAAATCACCATAGAAATTATTATGGTTAGTGCTCCCTGATGAAATTTGTTTGATGTCTTCTTTGTAACTCTGTATTGTTAAGGACACTAAGTAAATGACTTTAGCACAGAATTGACATCAAACAACAATATCATCGTGACAGACATAGCCCCATTCATTCACAGACTTAAAAGTTGGAACTACATACTAAATAAATAGTACCATGTGAAAGTACTGCTGAAGAGGTTTCATTTGAATGGTAACACCTTGGGATTTCATCCACAGACTTAAAAGTTAGAACTACAAACTAAATAAATAGTACCATGTGAAAGTACTGCTGAAGAGGTTTCATTTGAATGGTAACACCATAGGATTTCGTCCACAGACGTCAAAGTTAAAACCACCTCACAAAACTACTTCATTCACTCTGGCATTGAAAGCCGGCGTTCAAAACCAAGCCTACTTCTCGATCATTTGTTATACTGCCGATAAAAATAGCTCGTTTAAAGACAAACAAGAGTTTTGTGCAATTTTCACAGACAGGTTAAAAGTGTTACTAACAATGTGCTATTACTATGTTTTTTTTTCAGACGCCGATGGCAAGGCCACAGAAATGGAGAAGTAAGGGCCTTTCTTTGGTCATTTTCATCTTTTTCTTTTGATTACGTCGGCAATTATATAGTTCTCATACAATGTATCTCTTACTTTTTCCGTTTTTCAAAAATTAGCCTCGGTTTTCTCGTTTTGCCCTGGGAACGAGGGTTAAGCTTTCGTAATTGGCTGAAAGCTCTTAAGCACTTCACAACCAATCAGAAATGACGTTTTCACGAAATTCCCGCGCTTGCTGTGCCGAATACCAACCTCGTTCCCAGGGTTAATTGGTTCTTTGAAATTTATGCTCGTATTGTGATTGGTCAGACGACCACGTGTCATTTGGTTTTGGTTTTACAACATAAAAATGTTTGCCAAAACAAAAAACCCAGGTCAGTTATTTGAGTATTCATGTTGTCAATTTGTGCTCATAATCCTTAAACCTGTTCTGTTTTTTTTTTCTTTCAGGAAAAAGCTGGCCAAAGAAAACGATAACGCAAACGTGTAACATTAAACGAGCTCCATGGAATTGGAGTTCTTTATTAATACTGTTTAAGTTAAATCGTTTCATTTAGAAAAAGGGATGATAAATCAAAGGGCATTGCTTCCATCAGCCTCGTTTTATGGGGGAGGTGGGAAG